CAATGCGCCAGTTATTTATGGTTCATAGAAAGGGCTTATGGTTGTTTTTCTTGTAATTCGTCTAGCAACAAGCTACCTTCACGTTCTTGGTATAGTAAAAATATTGATTGAGACATATTAAATTTTAAATTTGCGAGAAAATAAAAGCTTTAACCGCACGCCATTCAGTTTTCAGTAATACTTATCCATACATACATATTTATATGTATGTGTGTATATCACGCTAAAAAACTTCACCTGTGCAATTAAAAAGTTTCTCACCAGGAATTCCTTTCATCCTTACAGAAACTTTGCCGCAGCTCCCATAACACTCTAAAACTTTCAGCTGTGGTTTGTGACATTGGCCGGATGCATGCGCTGATGCATTTTTATATATCACCGATATGTGTGTATATTTAGTATATGAACACATGTATGCATGTGGGTGGGTGTACCACTCATTCGAATTGATGTAATTACGCGTATCAGACATGACCTCTTCTATACAAACTTCAAAACTATGCTTAGCAGACATTCGCTGAAATATGCAAATTGTAGTTCACGTGTGTTCGTTCGCTCACTAAATCAGTGTATTTAAAAAATGAGGTGTGTGTTTCTTGTAGTTTTTTCCAATTTTTTATTTTTTTTGTAACGTTTTCCTTTAGGTATTTATTTTTTGTTTTTAGCTGCTATTCTCCTTGCCATATTTCTTTCAACTCGCCTTTCATATGCCACTCGAATGTCAATGACTTTCGACAGCGCTTGCGACGACATTGTGGCATATGAAGGCTTTAATGAAATTGTTAATTGCAAACTTTTGCTTGGAGGGCAGCTGGCAGCTGGTAGATATCAACCATGAACCACTCGTTAGTAAGCAAGTTGAAAGGGTGAATGAACACTTCAAATGTTGGAAGGAGTTTCCAGCGCTTTCAAGTAACTTGAATGTTCATGTGTATGCCATGTATGTATATACTTTAAAAACAGTTTGCTGATGCTCATTCATATGTGTCATTTCACATTGGCTACTGTCAACTAGTGGTGACAACTATTGCGGCGACTAGGAGGACAGCGACGTAGGCGGCGAAGATGTTATTGTACTCCATGGTCTAGCTGCCAGGGCTGCTGCTCAATTATTTCAACACATTGAACCTGATTTGAGGGGGAGCATAGTTTCATAGAGCGAGAGTGGACGTATTGGTGACAACATTAGTAGCAGAAACAATGGTTGTTCACTTAAATTGTAGCACTTGCATGCACAAACCTATATATGTATGTATGTACATTAGGGTGGTACAAAAAAAAAAGAGTAAAGTCGGAATTTTAAAGCTCGTCACCCCCCAAAAAAATATACAGCAGTGTTTTATTTTGAAATCAGAAACTATTTAGAGGTCGCTCAACGCGTTTTCAATGTATTTTGTTTTTCGTAGAAATGGTATAGAATTCTTACCATTTCAATATTTTTCAGTTGGAAAACTCTGTTCGGCAGACTTCCATCAATAATACCCATTCGTTTAATTTACCGTTTGGTAGTATAACTATTTTTCATAAGTCCCCAAAAATGTAAAAAAAAAAATGCAAGGGAGGGAGGGGGAACCCATAAATAAAACAAAAATCGTTACATGCATTTTTAGACCACCCTAATTTATATGTGGTCATGCTCAATCGTTCGCCCATCAAAATAGACAAGTTTTTATTCAAGTAAAGGAAAAGTTGACCGCAAAAGTTGCATTAAACACACACATTTTTATACAAATATATGTATGTGTGTGTATGCATGTGCATGGCATCCTTGCTGTAGCTCTCATTCTATGCGTTTTTTCCGCACATTGTTCTTTTAGTTGTATTGCATTTGGTTTTTAGTTATTTGCTTCATTGTTTGCCGTTAAAAGTAGTTACTTGATAATGTTGACGATACGAGTAACGTCGGTAGGTCGTTGGGTTTCCGTAGTTATTTCTGGTCAATGGTTTATGTTTTGTTTTGCGAAATAAAGTTGTTGGTTTCCGCCTGGGCGCTGATATCGGTGCAACTAAATTTTGCGAATAAATATGTATATTAACAAAGTAATATTTGCATTGTGTTTACTAAATATGAAGCTTGTGTTGCCGCAAAGAGCTGGGTTATTTTGTGGCAGTTACAAAAAGTATGCAAGAAAGTTTGGATGTTGTTGTCTTAAGAAAGGTGCTTACTATAAATAGAAAAATTAATAGGAGTTTATATTGATCTGACTGACAATCTGCATATGGAGCATATCGAGCCCTAGCCACCAAAAAAAAAAATGTAAGCTACGATTTTTAAAAGTAGTTATTTTTGATGCAGAAATGCTCCTTTAGCATCTGGATGCACTACTGCATCGAAAAGTAAATTCTGAAAAAATGTCGTTTAAATTTTTTTGGCAGCTAGGGTTCGATATGTTAACCTATGCCCAGGACCTTCGCGAGAAAATCCGGGGCCCGGGGGTAAATATATGTCGGCTCGGCCCCAAATTTGTTTTTTTTTTTTTCCTTTTTAAGCGGATTCCCAACGTCTTCACTCCATAATTGTTCAGTGCTTTTTTCGTAGTATGGTAGTAGTACTATTTAAATTAAAAAATGCAACTTTTTATGTGAATATCTATCTATATGTGACACGTAAAGTTACCCTGGGTGTCGCTGATTACGAATCCGATGTTTGTTTTTAAAAATTCAAAATGGTGGATCCAATATGGCGGAAAAAAATTAAAATTTGTTCGGATTCATGTGAAACTCAAAAATGTCGTTGACACCGAAAACGAGGTCAGTGATTACGAATCCGATGTTCGAAAACCCCCGAGTAACGAGTTTCAAGAGAATTTAATTAATTTCAGAATAGTTTGTCAGATTTGATTTTTTTGTACTCCTTTTTGAATGAACTTTTTGTGAATAACCTAATTTTGAAGTGAAATTGGGAAAGGACTAAGGCAGCTAGAAAGCTGCGGTTTATTGCATTGGAAAGAGTCTCCCGTTTACTATAAGAGTCGATGAAAAAGTGAAAACCGATTTTTTCTGACCGTAGGTCCCTTTTAACTTTACATGTCACATACAGGGGCGCCCCCAGGAATATATTTTAGGGGGGTTTTATATTTCTGAAGATATATCACCGGAAAATACTGAACATTTTCTTCAGAAAATACGCTCTTTAAAATATATTTATGCAAGTATTATATTATTATTATATAATAAATAAATAAACGTTTTAAAATTCATAAACTGCACTTTATTTACATATGATTAACAGAACTCAAACACTTTTAACCGACTTTAAAAAAAGGGGAGGTTATCAATTCGCCGGAATACGTAACTTTGGACCACGTGAACCGATTTCAATAATAATTTTTTTGTAGAAAGATGGTACCTCAAAGATCGGCCCGTAATTTGGTTTAGAGATCCGATGATTGGATCATGAAGAAATTAACGGTACCCCTAAATTTGAATATAAGAATTGAAGTCGGTTGTGTTCTTTCCTTAAAAACTACTTTTTTTAATAAAAAGTTCTATAAACTGAAGATGCGCTCAACTTTCAAAAGTACCTAATAAAAAATATTAAAAAAGACTCAGTAAAAATAAATTTATTGATTCCATGAATTTTTGCTCTTTTATGTTCCTTTTTTCGATTTCTGGTTTTTGGCTTTCGATAAAAATGGTGATTTTTCACGATTTCTAAATTTTTTTAATATTTCGAATACCGAAAAAATTAACTGAACTCTCAAGAAAAACGAAAAATTCATATAAAACGACGGACGAGAAATGGAAAAGAAATTTTCTACCGAAATTTCTTAAATCAGTTTGCAGCTCTCAAGAAAAAATGCTCGTATATTCATTTCCTCATGAAAATTGACAGCAAAAGCAAAGCGCTTTTTCAAGCAACAGAAATTATAATAAATATTTCTTATAATTTCCTTGAGAGCTGGATTCTTAGCTTTAAGATACAGTTTGTATTTGAGGTTATTAGCTTTAGGGGGGGTTTGAACCCCAAAAGCCACCCTTGTGTGCGCTAATGGTCACATATATATAGAAATGTTGTGTTCGTATGTCACGGTCGTCAAAACTCGAGATCGGCTGAACGAATTTGAATAATTCTTTTTTGGCATTGGAGGATTGCCGCCTATTTGAAAATTTTAACTCAGTTCAAATTGATAAAATAAATTAAATATTGCCATGGGGGTGTAAAACTAAAGAGTTTTAAGAAGGCTTACAGCCGAAAATATGTTTGAAGAGGGTTGCAACCTGTTTGAAAATTTAACTAAAGTAAAGCGATAAAATAAATGAAATATTACAATATTGGTATCAAATTAAAGAGGTTTAAGAAATATAGCTGTTGGAAATATTTTGGTGAAGGGTTGCCACCAATTTTAAAATTTTGACTCAGTTAAGCTGATTAAGTAAAAACTAAAGAGTTTTAAGAAGGCTTACAGTAGAAAATATTTTAAAAGAGGGGTGCCACTTGTTGAAAAATTTAGCGAAATTTAATTGTTATAGGAATCAAATTAGAGAGGCTGAAAGAAAACATTTGGAAATACTTTTGTGGAGGGTTCCAACCTATTTGAAAATTTAAACTGAGTTAAATTGATTAAACAAACGAAATATTGCAATGTGGGTCATAACCTAAAGTGTTTTTAAAAGACCCAGTTGTTTGAAAATTTAATTTAATTAAATTGGTAAAATAAATGAAATATTGCCGTGTGAGTGTCAAACTAATGAGTTTTAAGAAGGTTTACAGTCGAAAATATGTTTGAGGAAGGTTGCCACATGTCTGAAAGCTTAACTAAATTGCATTGATAAAATAAGTGTATTACAATATGTTTTATATACTTTAAAGCACAATTTCTGCCGCAAATGAGGTACAATTTGAAAAACTTAATTTTCCATCTCTGCTCCGCTTGGCATTGGCTAGTTTTTTTTTATTATTTAAAAAAATGTTCAAGTGGATTCATGGCGTTTTGATAACATATATGGTACACCCTAAATATGTATTTATGTTGTTTTAATTGGGTTCTTTTACTTACGTAATTTTCAATCAAATCATTTCGGTGTGGCACAAAGTAGTTGTGATCCTCCATGTCACGTCGCTTCTTCACACGTACGAAATGTTCCATTGGATTGAGATTGCGACGTGCACAGGCGCTAGCCAGAAATTCCTCCACCGACATGGCATCACGTAGATAAACTGTAGCATAGGCGTTATCAGGCATGGCAACTTTGAATGTTTTTTCCGGTTCGTCACGTGAATTCATCTAAAAATTACAAAAAATATGACGCACAGATTAAAATAATGTCGAAAACATCAATATTTTTTTGGTGACAAAAAGAGGAGAAAGTACATCCATATGTATATAAGTGTGTATTTCATTTGGTATTACATATTCCCCTTCTATTGAAATACATACATTAGGGCGGAGTAATTTATTCGGAGCAAAATTGTCGAAGAAAGTGTATGGAAAATTTAAATTCCACGATTAATTCTAAGCAAAAATAGCGAACAAACTATGTATATACAAAAAATGACGTTTAATCCTTTCAATTTTCAAAAAGAAAAGCAGTATAGTATATTGCGGGGACCGTAAATAACAGTGACTTTTTTTTTAAGTCGAAAATAAAAGTCTTTTCCTAATAACAAACAAACCGCTTATGCATATTAAACATGTTTGGTATCAACTGAAAGAGGGCTAAAATAGATTTAAACGAGGAAAAATATTTCAATAAAAAATGTTTTTAATTTCAATAGAACAAACCTTGCGTCAGGTATATGCATTTCTTTTGTATTAAATTTTAAAAATAAATATAAATAGAAGTGGTAACCTTCGTTCGTTATCTATGTTTACAAGCTATTTAAGTCCTCTTTCATTTGGTACCAAATTTTTTTAATTTGGATAAGCGGTTTGTTTACTATCCGGAAAGACTTTTACTTCTGACTTAAAAATAATCTGACCAAGTTTAACTGTTGAAAAAAATAACTGTATTTACGGTCCCTGGTATATTGTAAGATTTCTGGTGGAAATATACTTTTCATTGTAGGCAGCAAAAAACGGCATACAAAATATTTTTTTATTGTCTTTTTGGTGAAATATTTTCTTCAATATGAAGAAAACACAAAATCTTGTAAATGAAAAATTAATTTCGTTCCAGTAATACACTGAATTTTCTTTTAAAAATTGCGAAGGTCAAACGTAATTTTTAGTATCGAACGTAGAATTCGAGTATGCCATACACTTTTTTCCGTAAAACATTTGATGTTACATAATCCACACGTATTAAAATTAAATATCATCTTAAACACATTTATGAGTATAAGCTTATAAATTTGTATATATAGTATGTATAGCATAAAATATTGCATTAGGAATTCACCAAGCGGAAGTGGACAAACTCAACAAATAAACATTGTGGGCCACCTGGGTTTTTGATCGATAATCGCCTGCAAGGGGGGACTTAAATTGTTACCGCGTCTCCGCAAAAGGTATATGTATAGTTTTATATAAAATGCTTTTTAAATGCAGAGCTGCGGAGGATCTGCAAATAGTAAAACAAATAGAGACTTAAAAAACTAAAAAAAATATTAGTTTTTTAATAACCCAACCTGAAAAAATATCGTTAATGACTTCCCTGAACGTGACAGTCAGTTACTTTTGACCTATTGGACTTACGTCATTCTGCACATTCGTCAAAAGATAGAGTCCACTAAGATATTGGAGCGCCAACATGCCATTCCAAAGGCAGATCTTTGGTGAGATTTATTCCAATTTTGCTAGGGGCTAGGGGCGGGGATGGAGGAGCATCTGTTACTAGACACGCGCTATATGAGGCATGCCGCAGGGCATGACGATAAATGAAGATAAGTTGCCAACAGCATCATTTTGAATTTCGCTGCTATTATTTTAACCGCAACTGTACCTCGTAAAAGGTGTTGCCATGAGATAAACCAATTATATCATAAGCTTATAACTAGTCTGAGCATTACTTCGTTGAAATGGATCACCTTTGTCCCGTATGGCTGGAAAAAAAATCTGGCAACACTACTCCTAAAGTAAGGTATCTGCAATAAATAGTCTGGTAAGGCGATTACAGTGCTGAGCATATGAAAACATAACGTCCACGGACGAACTGGATGACTATAGTAGGAAAACATCCTCAAGTTCTAAAATAGCTAATTCAGAACTCCTTAGAAATAAAAACAAACTTTCCAAACTTCAGATTCTCCACGCTAAATGGAAGTACACTGAACATTAAAACTACATATTGAGAAATTGGTTTAATGAAAAAGTTGGTCACAGATTGTATGTATGTACGTTGTGGCACACTTATCCTAAAAAAGGCACTATCTTCAGTTTTGCATAACGAACAAGATTCCATCGAGAAATTTTATTTAAATGAAAATTTAAAAAAGGTATACTAAAATATTTCGACGAATTGGTAACCTCCTCTTTTTTTGAAGTCGGTGAAAAAGTTAAAATAACCACTCGTGCTTATATACCCGTAGTTGCGTATGTAACGTATACGCTCCGTAGAAACATAAGCATTCATTTAACACGTTTACCTACACGACCTAACTTAAAAGTAATTAAATATTGGCGTGGAAAATTTTCTCACAATATTCCTTATGCATATATATGTTATTTTCTTCATGTACATATCGATCGCCGAGTGGAAGATCGACCTATCGGCAGCCAGTTCGAAAACGCTCTATCTTAAAAAACTTTTCAAGAACGCCCTATTTCAGAATTTAATTGAAAAACACCCTGTCTTAAAATTCGGTTTAAAAAACGCCATATCTCACTTCAAAATGTATTGAAAATATGCTGATATAGGGCGTTTTTGAAACGAATTCTGAAATAAGGCGTTCTTGAACATTTTTTGAGATAGAGCGTTTTCGAACTGGCTGCCGAGATAGGTCGACCTTCCACTCAGCCATCGATATAAATTAATTTTAGAATAAATTTCGAGTGTGTCAATAAATATATAATTTTTATCAAAAAAAACGACTTAAAAAATATATATAAATTTTTCATGATCCATGATCGGGTCTAAACCAGATTAGTATGGGACCACCTCTGAGACACTACCATTCTGATGCAGAACTATCGAAATCGGTTGACGTGGTTCAAAGTTATGCGGTAACATACTACATAAAAGTCTGTTAAAAATGGAATTTCAGTTTCTTAAATCATAGTAATCTTTTACTCAATGAAATTTTTTCATTTAGTGGCACGTAAGTTGTATTACATTAGACTCGTTCATCTTGCCATGAAGAATATTTTCACCGTTTAACTTCAACATTTTGAAATGTCTGCAATTATTCTATTAAAAAAAATATCATAAAACATAAAAAATTACAAAATACGCTGCACTTTTTTTTAATTTGGTGGCACACTCTTGAAACTTCACAGATATGTGGTGTTTGATACCAACGTCCATTGCCTCTAATATGAATATTCTATTTGAAAACTTCAAAAAGTTATAAAAAAACAATTATGTTTTTTTTGAGTGACAATGGAAAAATGAGTAACTGCGGCTCTTTTTCGCCTAAATAATCGAATTAAGGCTAAAATTTTTCAAATACTTGACTTATATTTTATTACGTTACCGTTTTTTCTGGCGAGTAAATGCAAAAAGACGTAACAACATTTTTAATTGAAGTGGAAAAAGTCTTGACAAAATTTTGTTTGTTTTTTCCATAAATTCGATAAAATCCATCATCAATCAAAAACTGAATTTGAATTTTTTTCTTAACTACGACTTTTTGCATTTCAGTTGACGATTTACATATTTGTACAATTGAAAACGGCTTCGTACAATGAGGTGTTTAAACAAAGCTGTTAAGCTACTGCATACATACATACATATTTATATGTAGAAGAGGTCATATTTCAAAGCTAATAAAGTTGATAATATTTTTATTAACAGTAATTCGTTGTTGTTTATTTTTACCAAATTAAAACATCTTTTTCTGGAGAGCGAACAAGTTTTTTCTAAATTTTGAAGTGAAAAGTAGCATCATGTGCTGCCTATTAAGGGATTATTACTTATATTAATTAATGTTAATGTTAATTACAGTCATTACGAATATTCCTGTCGCACATAATGACGCTTGTACGCTAAAGCAATAATAAATTACACCTGCGACATAATTTTTTAAACTTTTATTTCATTAAGTTCCTCATGTTTCAATCCATCATTTTTCCCTATTTCATTAAAACGAAAATAAAACATGCAGATTTTTTGGTGTTTTTACACTTGTATGTGCTTGGTGTTTCTCTGTTCTTTTTGTTATTTTTCGTAAAGTCAAAACATTGGCAACATTTACATATATACATATGTATACGTACATATGCATGCATGTATGCACATACGGTTGTTGCTCTTAATCAAATATTTCAGCGAAGTCAATTTCAGTGATATGTATGCAAATGCATATAAAATATTCATTTGAATAATTATACTTTATTTGTAGAGAAATTTATTTAGGCACGAAACAATCTGGCATGTTTTTTCGTGAGTTATATTTTTTCGCAAATGTATAGGGATTAAAAAAGGCTAGTCATTAAAGTTAATTACAGCGACACCTTTGTTAGTTGCAAAACTCGCTGCATACAGCTTAAAATTAAATTTAACTAGCATTTCAAACATTTTTTTCATAAAACGTATTAGCAGAAATGCATTATTATTATTTTATTGTATTTGCTTGATACTACGAAAACGGCAAAGAAGTCAGTTTCTAAAAAGCGAATAATTTGCTAACTAAAAGTTTTTAGTGATATAAAATCATCAGAATCGCAATTAAATAATCGAGCGACCAAAACACATCATGACATAAGTAACTATAGTTTCGGCTATGCCACAGGTTCACTGTGCACTCTTTATTTATGTTAAGGGGAAAACATTAGGGATATTCACGATCCGGTGCATGCTGTCTAGCATGGTGAATAGATAGCATGAATAGCATGATTGTGGTAATTTCATGTGTTCAAACAACAACAAAATTAGCCAATCATGCTATTTATACTATCTATATTATAATAGATGGGAAAGTTACATTCATACATCCGTATAAAATAAAAACTAATATAAAATATATTTTACAGTAGGCCTTGCATGCCCGCACAGTAAATAGGTCACACAATTTCATCGTACCTACATAAAAGAGTTAAACGCAAAGCGTTTATCTAAACAGGCAGTGGTATGGGAGATATATGTTTTTGTAATCCGACTTTTTCATTTACACTGTAAACTCTCTTTT